GTCGGGATTCCGTCTGTCGGGATTCTGGCTTGTCGGGATTTCGGCTGTCGGGATTATGTCCGGATACCGATTTCATTATAGAGAATATTCCAACTATACGTATTTTGTGCTGCATTTCATTTAAACGTTTTTCCTCGAATTTAATTAGAGATATATTTCTTATTCAATTAATTTAATTCTTGCAAGGCAAAAATACCTGAAAAACTCAAAATACCTTCATCAAAAATTGAAAAATATAGAAAAGTATAAAACAGCACATTCAGTTAAAGTAATTAAAAAAACGATTTTTTCCATTAAAATTAAAGTTTGTAGGTAAAAACAAGCAATTAGGCCAGCGACCAAGAAGGCAAATTTTTTGGTGTACAAAAGTGAAAGCTTACTTTTGGTCCTAAACGGAAAAAAAAAGACACCGGAAGGGCAGAAACTCACTTAATTCAGTATTCTGCGAAGTTTCAAATGTAAACAAATATGGCTGCTATTGTAAAAAAAATTAAGCTTAAACAACTTTTAAATTGTTGATAATTCTACAACTGTTGCATGCAGATTAACTAAAGGAATATATACATTATCCAGAAGATAAGAACAATGTAATTCCATCATTTTTAAAGCAAAAAAAAAAAAAAAATGCAGAAATTTACTAACATATAATGATAAAACAATTGACCTCACTGAGCCGAGTATTGAAGATATTTGTTCACAATATACGTAATGCCATATAAGGATGAAAATGAACAACGCATGACCATGCATTGAAGCATATTTATCACTTGGTAGGCATGATTTATAAAATTCCGACAAAATGATGTATCTGAAAATTTGTTGGCAATATCTATATGGAATGTACAAAGAGTCGCGAAAATGCAAAAATTTTTATTTCTCTTTCGAGAGCCTTGAATTTTCATATTCGTGTATGAAATCAAAAATTTTGACTGCCTATTATTTCTACTTTTTTAGAGTTATCCTTTGTCTGGCTTATTGAATTGTAAATTTGTTGAATGCATTTATTTTGACTGGCTTTATCTCAGCATTCAGAAAACATTTTATTTCAACCCAGTTCGGAGAGTTCGGTGTACCCGTTTTTCTATGGGCCGTGCTTGAATCCCTATGACAACGTAAAGTATATCATGGGGGCGTGTCTTAATATTTCTCTGGGACTTCCCACTCACTTCTTGTATCTCATTCATAGTTGATTTCATGAGGGTGTGTGATGCCCCTGCTTTAATGCTTTTCTGATAAAAACAATGATGTTAAGTTTATGAACATAAACAATAATGTTTGAACTGATTAAGAAGATGCAAAAATACAATAATTTTGGCACCTTTTCCGAAAATCTTGATATTTGATATGCGTCTATCAAATGAAAATGTAAAGCTGCGTATTTTTTCCCATTTATGTTTGTCTAGCGTGATGAAATATAAATTTTAATGTAAGTATTTATCTGGGCTCGGTTTGTCTGGCCATTGAAAACGCATTTTATTTGAATCTAGTTCAAGACGAGTAAATATCCCTTCCGTTGATGCTGATGCTGACGGCCAGCCTTGAATAGACACCGCTGCGGTTAAGCATGGTGCGAGGTCTTCATATTCGCTCCGCCCATGATCCAAGATCCAAGTTCTATCGTCCTGCCTCACCAAATCTCTCGGACATCCTGGATATCATCTTTACAAATTCTTCTATCCCTATTTCCTTGGAAGTCAAGGTAGAACTTACATCTGATCATGTACCTGTCATTGCTTCTCTTCATGTTTCTAAAGAAGACCCTCCTATTACCAGAAATAATACTGACTGGATTACTTTTCACAATATCTTAATCAAACATCCTCTTATTTTCACTTCGCTTTCTAACAAACAGGATAATCATCTTGCTATTCAAATCTTCACTGACAGTATAATCAAAGCTTTCAGAGATGCTACAGTTACCATTCAATTAACTAACAATAATATTCGACTCCCTCGCAGTATCAGAGACATTATTATAAGAAAGAAACTGATTGCTGAAGCTTTGGCACCGTAACTGGGACCTTGCCCTTAAAAGAGAAATCAATATTTTTAATAGAAGAATCAAGAGGCTTATCACTGAATTTAAAAACGAAACAAGAGAAGATTTTATATCTAAACTTAATATTAATCCCGGTTCTTTGTGGAAGTATCTTCAAAATCTTAAAAGAAGTAGTATTAACCATAGACCTATTCATACGGATACTAAAATTGCTTGCTCACTTAAAGATAAAGTTAATATTTTCTCTGAATACCTGGAAATGCAGTTTACTCGTAATATGGAGCCCATGAATCAGACCTTTAGAGATGTTCTGGAAAGTTTTGTGTATTCCTGCCTTCAATCATCTTCGGCTCATAACACCCCAACGCTGACTTCTCCTATGGAAATTACTAATATTATTAGATATCTCAACATGAAAAAGCTCCTAGAAGTGATCAAATTACTAATAAAATGCTTCGTAACCTCCCCCCTCCTTACCTAGAAATCTTATCAGTAAGTTCGCCAGTATTCTTCACGCCTGCCTTACTCTCAACTATTTCCCTGATTCCTGGAAGCAGGCCAAGATCTCTCTTCTTCCTAGACCGGTTAAGGATGTGACCAAACCTGATGGCTATCGTCCAATCAGTTTGTTATCCAGCCTTGGAAAAATTTATGAAAGACACATACTTACAAGATTGGAACCTTTTCTTTACCTGCTACCTAATGATCAGTACGGATTCAGACAAAAACCTCGGTACTTTTCAACAACTTGTTAGAATTGTAGAATTTGTAGGATCTGCATTCCATAGCAAGCAAAGTGTTGCGCTCCTTATGCTGGACGTGGCAAAAGCCTTTGACCGCGTCTGGCATGAGGGCCTCGTCTTCAAGCTTATCGATTTGGGACTTCCCAGAGAAATCATTCTTCTGATCTTCTTTTTTTTGCAGAACCGCACTTTCTTCGTCGCTCAAGGAAATGAAAAATCCAATTCAAAACCTATAAGATCCGGCGTCACACAAGGAAGTATTCTCGGTCCAGTGCTGTATCTTTTCTACATATCAATTTTCCACACCCTGGTTTGGACAATTACTCTCTGTTAGCATGTTATGCCGATGATATGGCGATTGCAATTAATTCTATCCAAGCTAAACATGCAATAGACAAAATGCAAAATTACCTCTATGCTGTAGAAGATTGGTGCACAAATTGGCGTGTAAAAATCAATGCTAGCAAGTCACAACTTTTAACCCATTAACGAGCCCGCCCCTAGGAACGACATGCTTTGAAAATGGCCGTGCTGTCAGTTAACCATGTTTGACAAACATAACACTAAAAATGGGAAGAAATACGAAGCCTGTCTTTTCGATTTTGTGTAAGAATATGAAAATAAATTTCAAGATTTTTGGACAAGAAATCAATGTTTTTGTACTTTTTGACTCTACTTAAATCCAATTGGTATTTGCAACAAATCGTCGAATAGGATGGACAGATTTGTTCTCTGATATCCAGTGCAAGGAAAAATTTATGTTATCTCTTTGTTGGATTTTATAAATTATGCCTAGGAAGAGATAAATATATCTCACTGCATAGTCACGCGTTATCCTTTGTCATCACTTCTAAACAGTACATATGTTTGTGTGTGATTTTCAATAGTGAAGGTAAACTAAGAGATGAAAACCAGAACATCGGACAAACGTCTTGAGAACACCCTGAGAATTTCAACCACTTCACTCGAACCAGACATTAAAGTATTATTTTCTCAAATTTAAAGTCCAATAGTACCTTAACATTAGGATTTGTTATAATTACGACCAAAATTTACAATGAAAGTTTATGCGTAAAATGTCAAGTAAAATGTGAGAATAATTTTCTTTCGCTATCACTATGCTAAATGCATTGAAAAATCATAAGTTACTAATGTTATTTAATCACTTAAATATGTTTTCAAGTTATTTGTTGTTATCAGCCATCATTCGTATTGCGCAGTGACGGCTCGTCGAATCAATCAAGTAAATGAGAGACTCACTTAAGTATCCTATATCTGCAATAGAGTATATGCAGTTTCTTATATAAAACACACTTTAAGCAAACTTTTGTTGGGGGACTCTCCGGGTCTGGCTGCGTTCGCTTGTTGTGTGAATGGGACACCCCTTTTTGGACCATAAGATCACTTTGTGATCAGGCGGGTTGGGGCGTTCTAGCAAAAAACAAAACTTTAAGCAAACTAGAAATAATGCGGTCAAACGCGTACATTTCTCTCTTAGAGGGTAAGTTCAAAAATTTCTTTCAGCAGTCAAACCAGCGCAGACCGGAGAATTTCCAATGAAACTTACGTAATAATCTGAATTGATTATTTCGGAGCTCACGAGCTGCCACTCATATTCGAAATTATACGTGCAACCAGAAATACATCATCTTTTTCCAATGTGGTCCTCGGTGGCTAAATGCATGGAATTCTCTGCTTAAAGCATCAAACAGAAAAGAGTCTGTATGCTGTAGCTGCTTAACTCCTGTATTCAAGGGAGTGTTCGAGTATAATTTCTGTTCGTCTGATTATTTACCAGGACAAATATCCAACTTCGTGTACTATTGAGCCATCTGAAAATGAAATGTTAGAGCTTAGTAGGTAGTAAATGAGAGTTTTGGGGCCATGTGGCGCAGTGGCGCTAGGACTGCGTGGCGCTCACAGGGGGAGGGAAATTACGGAGGAGCACGTGCGGGTTGTTACATCACCAACTACGGACGCGTTGCATTCTGTTCGTGACGTCATCACGCATTGTCACCTCGGATTATCTTGCTATTGCTACGTCAGCCACATGTTTCATCCTGTTTATGGTGTAATCCGGTTTCATGTACACGTTTATCGATTGACGTAGAACTCCCCGCTGCTCTGATGTCATACTAAAGCGCAACCTGATTGCAGCATGCATATACATGTTAGAATTTCTAGAACATTTTATTTATTTCAGCAACGACCGCTAGAGGGCAGTAGACTTACGCACAGCGCTTTCTGATAGATTCTCGTGGATCCTGACCAAGTCCTGTACAGAAAGACGCTGGACCCTTTTTCATCATTTCTGTTCGTGCTGTATGCTTCGCTCCTACTTTCGCACTTCCTTTTTTAATCAAGACTTGTTATTCGAGGTATGTATTTTATCATAGAACCTTTTCGTGTTTGTACTCATATATTCGATGTTACTATTTAATTTGAGTACGAAAATCTGTATTTTTGGCATTGCCTTTATAGTTTGAATTTATATTTTTCAGATGGATTTGGAACAACACCCAACGAGTTCGAGAACGAGCATCTCAACGCGGATGTACTGAAGATTTCAGATTCTGAGCGACACCATGAGAAGACCAGAGAAACACCCATCTCGAGAACGCTAATGGCAAACGAAAAATAGACGAACATAATACATCTAAGAAGAAAGTAAGTATTACGGAAAGATTTTATTCTTGCTATAACGCAGACTTATTATTCTTTTACCAAACGACTCATAATTATTTTTTCTCTTTTAGCGCAATGGAGGGTTTACTGAAGACGCATTCCCAGAGGAGCCGACACATACTGGCAACAATGTCTTTGTGGAACCTACTCTTTGCAACGGAAAGATCACCGTGCACACCAGGCAATACAGCAAGTACGGGACTCATACTATCCGACTCCTAACGGTGTGAATTTAGAGCCTCCGTGTTTGGACACCTTCTCTCAGTACAGCACATAGGATGTGTTCACAATGAATCTGAAACTACCCAAGAATTTTAGTGCAGAATATGATGGTTACTGCATAACGTTAAAGCAACTAACAGTAAAAGGAGTAGAGAAAACCAATATTAGACTTACAATCGCCCAGTGGGAAGAATTGTCTAGTGGGAAGATTTTTCTGGACAAGTAATCGTATTGGAACAGTCGAATATTTGCGGACGAATAGTCAGTTTACAGCCTGGACCATGGACACAAGAACTAAGAAATTGAAAGAAAAATATTGATACATCTGATGTAGGAAGAAGGAATTTGAAAATCACCTTTTAGACTTCTAAGGTTCACTTCATAGCGTTTGTGAGTTTCTTTCTCTCTTTGTTGTTACCCCTTTCAATAGCGCATGAATTAAAGATTCAGATCCAAATAAGTGGCACCCTGTGCCTATAGCAGTCTCCTTTAATATGTATGGACGTTGTAGGACGTTCTGAATTTTAATGTTTGAGTATCAAATGTAGTACTAAGTTCAACAGATAAACGCTCTAAAGTAACAAGTTTCGTTTTCCCAGATAAAGTAGAAGAAAAAAAAAAATCTCTGCGCTCAGACCTTATATTACGCCCAAAGGGGAGATTTTTTAACGTTTCCTGTCTTACCTTTATTTATTAAATATCATGTTATTTGCGCTTAAAATTCAATAAAAGAGCAATATCGCTAAATATTTAAAAGAACGTATCTTTAGAATTTCCGACACACAGTCTCGCGCGCTGGAGATAATGTTCTTTTTCCCCTTACAATGTTGCCATTGCTCTCTTGGAAATCGTTGTGTTTGTGAATCAGAAATTCGCTGAACCTTTACAAATTATGAAATAGCTAATAAAACAAATTCCAGATTTCCATATTCGGGTGGAGACGTACGTTATTCAGATTTGGATGGCTTCTAGGTACCGTTGTTTTATCACAGTGCGAGAAACATGTGTTCATTTATGCACATTCTTCACTATTTAATTTTTTTTAAATATTGTAATACAGGGCTCTAATATTTGGTGGCAACAATTTAAAAATTGATTTGCCGTTTATAGTGAATCGACACAAAATGCCAAAACGAAATTAAAAGCCCTTCTGAGTTAAGGATCCTCTGGGCTAAAAATCAAATAATGTTAAATTCAATAAAACCAATAAAATTAACTTGACTTCTTTTACCGATGACGTCCGTCGTCAGCAACTGTTCGAGATTTAAAAGAACTAACCTTTCTCTTTTCTTTTAATAAACTTAAAATTAAATAATTTTACATCTAATTTTCCAAAGTGTCATTTCTATTTTCAAAACCCATAGAACAAGAACAAACTAGAACCACGATCCGACGGTTGCCACTCATAAAATGACAAATTATGAAAGAAGGGCAACAATTGCGGTTTGGTTCTAACACCCTACGCATTGCAAACAGCATAGGCAAAAAATACTTCGGAAACATTTAAAGCAGAGGAAAGGAAAAACAAGTGGACCTGTCTATATCAGCTCAGCGGTGTGTCGATGAGGCGGGGCTTAGAAATTTGACTTTTCATAGGTCTAGTATACTTGCGTGATCTATCAGCCCGAGTTCGCAAAAACGAATAACCAGACCGGCGAGTTATAATTTTTTTTTTTTTTTTTTAATTTTTATTTGCATCATGGACCCTGAGAGTTACAGTCGCTCTTTTAATCTTTGACGCGCTCTGAGCTCAACAGCTTTAACCCGAATGCGGCGCCGCATGCTAAGAATCCTATTCGTACTAAGAATTCAATTATGCAGCCTCTTGAACCTCTGCAATTTACGAACTAAGATATAGGCACCTCAACCATCTCTAAATAAACTACTTATCAAGTATGGATACATATTTATACACTGAAGAAACACCACACCGAGCAGCTGTTTGAAATCAGGACATTACGAACTCAGATATGGGCACCTCAACCATCTCCAAATGAACTACTTATAAGGGGCCCGAGTTTGGAATCCTATAGAAGGCATGGTTGTTTTTGGCGCTCCCTTCATACGAAGCATAGTGGACCACCTATTAGGTTCCTCCATAATAAAGGGATCGCCACTTCTGGCACTTTATAGTGGCCAACGTCTGTGGACGGTATGGGCCCGTAATTGGGAGAAAATATACTTACTTTTATTTTTAAGTTTGTTGGTTAACTGTTACTTGTATATACGAAAAGTAAAGGCTGGAAGAAAACTGTTAGCTGTCACAGATTACATAGGATACATCGGGCTGTTTTGTATATGTACCACCAGAAACAGAACTATATTTGTGCAGGCGCATGGAAAGATACTTCTGTTTTTTCGTAGAAAATTTGATTTATGAATTCATTTCAGAGGCCCTCTAAAGGGAAATTTATTATACGCAAAAATAAATTTATTTCCGATGCTAATTTAGAAACTTTTATAGTTTGTTTAAATACCAAGGAAACAAAATGCGATGTAAATCGTCTTCGCTAACCATTGACAAAACGGGAACATCTGTGCTCACTTCCGACTGCACAGAATTTGCATGTTAAATGATTCCTGTTTTTGTAAAATGAAATTATAAATGTTTAAAAAAATGTCCTCTTAAAATCAATTATTGAGATAAAGTATGAGATTATTGTATGGAATTTAAGATTTAATAACTGATGTTGTAAAGAGCAGTAGAATACCAAATGTTGACATTTGAATACCATTTTCTCTTCTTGAAGAAATGCTTCATAATGATGTCAGTACTTTTATTGGGCCAAAAGATATTGAAATTCTGTAATTAAAATCATGCAGATTTTTATAATAATACCTTGGCATAAAATTCAAAAATCTACTACCTAGGTTGGAAATTTTGGAAGGTTGCTTTTTACAAGTTACAAACTGGTCTTCATAAGGGTAGGAAAACCCTTTTTTAAGACCATGCTTATGAACATTTCTGTATTTCAAACTGTGGCCGTCTTGCATAAAGGTGTTGCCACGATTATGAAGCTGTTCCTTCTCGTATATTAAGGAGTGTGAATTAGTATTAAGTAATCTTTGACTAAGCGTCTGATACTCTAGGGTATCTAAAATATGCTTCGGATAAAAGAATAGAGAAATTATTGTTGAAAGAGGGATTACGTGGAAAACTATTTTAGAGCATATTACTAATTATTTTCATTTAACAATATAATTCGTAACACTTAAAAAATTTGAATGTTTAATCCCGTTACATGAACTGACAATGAGAAATGAAATTTTTGTTGTTAAGTAATTGTTTAAATTGTTATGAAAGGGACAAATTATACCAGAGTATTATTTATTGGCATGTGTAGCATAAAGATCAGATTTAACTCCCTAAATTTTTTACTACTCCTATAAACTTGCTTATACCAATTTTGCTTTCAGTATTTGAATTTAATACTTAATACTTAATTTGGTATTATTGAAATTAAAAATAAAAAAACATATAATGTTCATTTTATTAATTGTTGTCTTCACTTAATTTTCGGAAGCTAAATTTGGAAAAAATGAATTCAGTTTTTTATTGCTTTTATATATTTGGGAGGATTTGTAAAATTTTGGAATTTAATGTTAAAATATTGTCATTATCATGACTTCATCATTATGATTTTTACAGGCATTTTCCGAATTCGATAAGAAAAATAAGATGTAAGGATAAACAATGGGAAATGCTACGGACTAATTAAAAAACACATTTAATATATCAATAATCAATCATGAATTCTAAATTAATCCTTTCTGTAAGTCTTAGGAGTAACTCTGATTTCATAATGCAGATCAGTTTTACTAAATGATGTTTTGTGTCATTAAAATTTATTTTTACATAATTAAAGATAGCCTTCCCCGATGAAATGCTGATTTATTTATAAACAATTAATAATATAAAATTACTTGTCTTTAGTGTTTCTTTCAAGTTTGTCCTTCTGTATTTATTTACGTTTTCAAAACCTAATCTATCCATGCATTAGATATCACAATTTCTGCTTAAAATAATGTTTTACGCTAGGCTACCTAAAACAAACGAAATTTAATTGAACAGAAATGCAAATGGCATATTAAATTTTAGGATAAAAGTTTATTATTATTATTACTATCATTATTATCATTGATAACTAATTTAAAAGAGAATTCCTCCTCCCTTCCAAAATAAGAAGGATAAAGGCCATATCCAAGATGCATTTTATGTTCTGTTGAATGGCATTTAAATTCTATTATTAAGAGCTTTTGCTATACAAATTTTACCGTGCAATTGTTTTTTTCAGCGGGCGAACGACTAAAAATATTAAAGCATCACCTTAACAAACGTACTTTTAAAATCACTTCGGAAAAAATAAAATGTTCGAAAAGTTTCAATAAAAGCTAAAAACTTCTAGCTAACCAATCACCGCTTTGCCTGTAAGCGGCAATGCAGTCTTATTTAATACATAGAACCATGCGCTTTTGTAAATTTTTATATCAGAAGAAAGGAATAAAATACTGGTGGTCAGTTATTTAGCAATTATTCATATTAAGTATTACAGTGGATTATTTTGACTTTAAAATCCATTACTTCTTTGAATCAAAGCTTCTATCTATTTCCCGCTGAAATCATCCAAACTGGAAGAGCATATATTAGTTTAAAACACAAAGAATAAGTTTGCCCAGTTTTACATTTACTACACAATGTAACTTTGTTTCTCTTTCGTTAAATACTAATAATTAAAACATACATATTACACCTTTTAGCTATATATAAAAACTAAAATTTAAAAGTAGAAGGAAAAAAGAATATAAAATCGTAGGAAAAAATTCGAAAAGAGTTTAAATATAAAACTCATGCCACTGTTAAATTTTAGAACGAAGTAAATTGTAAATTGAAATGTTAAAATATGTTGATATTTCTTACAATATTTAAAATAAATAAATAAATGAATAACTTTAAACTAATCAAAACTAAATAAACACTATATGAAAATGCAAATTAATTATTCGTTTTTAATGCTTCAAATCGACTCGTAAAGGGCGAATAATTTAAAACATTAAAATTCGAACTAAAATAGAGTACTGCCTCAAGTTTCGGTTCCACTTGATTTTTTGAACAACAACAAATTTTAAAATAAATATAAAAATAATAATATTAATAATAAATTATAAAAATCAAAAGTATATACATACAAGATAGGTAGACAGATAGATATACAGACGACAATGCAGGCGTTAACCTGGAATACATGCAAGAATAGTTACAAGTGAAAATATTATGCACATGGAATCACTATAAATTTTAGGAATTAAAGTCCGAATATCAGGCATTGAACTAAAAGGCTCACTACCTAAAACAAACAAATTTTAGAATTTTAAAACCTCTTCTCCTTTTGGATAAGTAAGCAAAGAAGAGACTTCGTTAAGCATGTTTCCCAGGCGTA